TGAAGAACAGTGATGCCAAGAACAGTTTGTATCTCTAGAGAACACTGAACACTACAGTCGTCTCTGTCGTCTTTATACTACTCTCTTCCATCCTCTTCCTCTTCCTATTCCTCCTCATCCTACTTCTCCTCCTCCCCCTCCTGTTCCTCCTGCTCTTCCTCCTGTTCTCACCTCATAACACTGACATTCGTATCTTCTTATGAGAGTTATGAGAAATGATTGGTTGTCTTACACACACCCAGACTTATCCTCGCCACAACACCTGTCCTCTACCTTACTCCACATGTAATATATCCCCACACCTGTCCCCCGTCCCCACCCTTGCCCACACACACCTGTCCCCCGTCCCCACCCTTGCCCACACACACCTGTCCCCGTCCCCACCCTTGCCCACACACACACCTGTCCCCCATCCCCACCCTTGCCCACACACACACTTGTCCCCCTCCCCACACCTGTCCCCTTCCCCACACCTGTCCCCCTCCCCACCCTCACCCCAGAATATAGATACCTCGGTGCTACACACGTGTCTTATTCATTAACTTACCGGCGTTGTATTCCATTATTGCAACCATATTCTATCTCGTGTTAGGACGCTGTCACCCAGACTGTCTCGTGTTAGGACGCTGTCACCCAAACTGTCTCGTGTTAGGACGCTGTCACCCAAACTGTCTCGTGTTAGGGCGCTGTCACCCAAACTGTCTCGTGTTAGGACGCTGTCACCCAAACTGTCTCGTGTTAGGACGCTGTCACCCAAACTGTCTCGTGTTAGGACGCTGTCACCCAAACTGTCTCGTGTTAGGGCGTTGTCACCCAAACTGTCTCGTGTTAGGGCGTTGTCACCCAAACTGTCTCGTGTTAGGACGCTGTCACCCAGACTGTCTCGTGTTAGGACGCTGTCACCCAAACTGTCTCGTGTTAGGACGCTGTCACCCAAACTGTCTCGTGTTAGGGCGTTGTCACCCAAACTGTCTCGTGTTAGGACGCTGTCACCCAAACTGTCTCGTGTTAGGACGCTGTCACCCAAACTGCCTCGTGTTAGGACGCTGTCACCCAAACTGTCTCGTGTTAGGACGCTGTCACCCAAACTGTCTCGTGTTAGGACGCTGTCACCCAAACTGTCTCGTGTTAGGACGCTGTCACCCAAACTGTCTCGTGTTAGGGCGCTGTCACCCAAACTGTCTCGTGTTAGGACGCTGTCACCCAAACTGTCTCGTGTTAGGACGCTGTCACCCAAACTGTCTCGTGTTAGGACGCTGTCACCCAAACTGTCTCGTGTTAGGACGCTGTCACCCAAACTGTCTCGTGTTAGGACGCTGTCACCCAAACTGTCTCGTGTTAGGACGCTGTCACCCAGACTGTCTCGTGTTAGGACGCTGTCACCCAGACTGTCTCGTGTTAGGACGCTGTCACCCAAACTGTCTCGTGTTAGGACGCTGTCACCCAAACTGTCTCGTGTTAGGGCGTTGTCACCCAAACTGTCTCGTGTTAGGACGCTGTCACCCAGACTGTCTCGTGTTAGGACGCTGTCACCCAAACTGTCTCGTGTTAGGACGCTGTCAGCCAAACTGTCTCGTGTTAGGGCGCTGTCACCCAAACTGTCTCGTGTTAGGACGCTGTCACCCAAACTGTCTCGTGTTAGGACGCTGTCACCCAAACTGCCTCGTGTTAGGACGCTGTCACCCAAACTGTCTCGTGTTAGGACGCTGTCACCCAAACTGTCTCGTGTTAGGACGCTGTCACCCAAACTGTCTCGTGTTAGGACGCTGTCACCCAAACTGTCTCGTGTTAGGACGCTGTCACCCAAACTGTCTCGTGTTAGGACGCTATCACCCAAACTGTCTCGTGTTACGACGCTGTCACCCAAACTGTCTCGTGTTACGACGCTGTCACCCAAACTGTCTCGTGTTACGACGCTGTCACCCAAACTGTCTCGTGTTACGACGCTGTCACCCAAGCTTTGTCTCGTGATATGCACCCTGGTAATTGACACTGGTTTAATGACACTGATAATTGACCCTGGTTTAATGACACTGATAATTGACACTGATAATTGACACTGATAAATGCTTTAACATAAAGACAGGTAGACAAACACTCGGACATATTTGTTAGAAAACGCTGGAAGGAATCAGGTTTCCAGAACTGGAAGGTTTACTAATGAATATATGCCAGTGTTTGTTCAAGTGTGTTTTAAACCAGTATGTTTCGTTTTAAGAGAGAGTCTCCTGGAGGTTACCTGGAGGTTATTCCGGGGATCAACGCCCCCGCGGCCCAGGCACTGTTTTCACTTTCCCTGGTGATCATGTTACTGTCAGAACGCCCTCCTACGCGAAGGGCTGTAATTAATCTAAGAAGTTATATATGTTTGACACCGTCGCTTAGTTTCTGCCAGAAGATTTGTTTCTTGCATGGATCTCCTAGACTCTGAATAAGTCTATGAGTGAGCACGAGCAACTCAGGTGTCAGAAGTGACTGGAGTCAGGAGTGTGAGAAGTCATGACTACATGACGGTGAGAAGTGCTGGTCTCTCCTGGGCATCACAAGACATAGAGGAACTCTGTAGTTAGGAGGCCACTGAAGACAGGTTTATAACTCATTTGTGTGACGAAGAAATGGAGGTTTCCTTTGTTGGTGTTGACATTATGTAACACTGTCCTTCCTGACGAGGTTCTCAAGTTACCTAAAGTGTCACATAAAACCATTCATAACAAATTCTTGAGGATGTTTCAGATCCCAGAGACATGACCATGATCCACATACATGTACTGCAGTACCTAGCATCTAGAACTGTATTTACTGCCCAAATCACATAGACAAGGAATTCCAGTGAACCCATCTCATGTGGAAAAGGCATCGCCCCTCCCACTTCCCCACAAACTACTGGGGGATTCTAGCCCAACACCTAGCATAACTCTGAGGCACTCACAGTCACGCACACTTAAAACATTCTGGCGATCTCAACCGTATCCACAATGTAAACCATCAGAGACAAGAAACTCTCCAGACTGCACGTGACATTCCTATTCACTAAAGTATTCACAGCACAAGCCATCCATCTCTCGCCACGTAAAATTGCTGACACTCTCGACCTTCCTGTTCCAGCAAGGGATTTTGCTGATCTCGTTGATAAAGGTGTTGGTTTTAACTGTTTCTTCTTTTTTAATTCTTTCTTTCAACAGACTTTCGGTCAATCAATGGGTTCACCATTGATTGTTATTTTGGCGAACCTATATATGGAACATCTTGAAGCCGATAGATTTTCCACTATGATCCCTTCACGGTCACCTGGCTCCGTTACGTTGATGACATTCTCATCGGAACTCCCAGAAGATTCGACGTCTCTACACTCCCACACAAGCTGAGCCAGGTCCAGCACTCTGTCCGGCTCCCACCTGACGAGGAAGTCGACAGCACTCTGCCTTTCCTCGAAGTTGTTCTCTGTAAATCTGATCATGAACTCCATTTCAAAGTTTACCGCAAACCTGTCGTTCAACAAGATCCTTTCTACTACTACTCTCACCACGGCATCAAGATTAAACCTAACGTTATCGTAGTGTCTTCCTACTCGCTCTCCGTATCAGAGACTGCAGGCGTCGTGCACCTCAACTCACCCGGACGACACAAGCGGAGGAAGATATTAGTCTTTCCTAACAACTCTATTGTTAAACACATCTCTTACATTTTTTCCAACACCAAACTCCAAGTATCCACCGCTGCCTCCACAACAATCAAGGACATCGCCAGTAAGGGACACCACTAAGTCAAAACTACAGCAGGGGTACACACTTTTTTCCCTGGAAATACTATGACCAAATATACGTAGAAGAAACATCGAGAGACCTCCAGACGTGCATTTCTGAACACAAAAAATGCTAGCAGGATGAACCACTTGAACAACGTCTGTGTTTTTCATGGAAACTTCCACAATCTCCTGATCAATTACAGCGACGCATGACTCACTGTCAAGAAGAAAATACATCAAAATGCAAGGTTCTGCAATCATCGCTAACAACTTCATCCACAACAACGGCTTCTACAACATAACTGAGCCTTTTGCCAGGAAACTTCTTGATCATCGTCCCACATAGCAACAAATCCTAGTATGGAGGCACACAGCAGCAGGCCTACTGACCCAAGCTAGATCTGTCCTTCTCGAACCCAATCTCTTCTCAGCTATATATTTAACCAACCTGTCATTAGTCTACCCAGGACAAATTCAACATTCATCACCTGTATATTGAAAATGGTATATAACATACCGACAGGTTGATGATTAAGACACAAGTGCAACAGTTAGGTATCTTTATTGGGCTTCTTCAGTCAAATACAGAGGCAGCAGGTGTGGTAGCGAAATGAAGATGATGTAATCGGTCCATCAACCTTGAACTCTTCTCCAGGCTGAGGGACTGACCACCTCAGACACTATTTCTCCCAAGTTGATGGACTGATTGCATCATCTCCATTTCACTACTATACCTACTGCCTCTGTATTTGACTATAACACCATCTATAACAATGAACTCACAACAGGATGAATACTTGTTGTAATAAAAGGGACTCTCCTAATATGGGTCAGTATGCCTACTGCAGTGTTCGTTCTTCCTTTCTTATATTCTTATTAGACCTGTCTTAACTTAGCCATAATACCAACTTACCTCATAATTTGTAATATTTTACAATTAAGAATAAAACTAAGTATGCCCGAAATGCCTAGCCATGCTAAGCGTTCTAGTGGTACACTCTGTAATCACAATTTTACTACATGTAAACCAAACAATAACCAAATTTCTGTAAACTCAGCATTGTAATCCTTATAGAGAATAAACTTTGAATTGAATTGAATTGAACTGCAGTCAAGAGTGATATCTGAACATCCTCTCAGGTGTCAAAACTCACTTCTTTTTGTCGCATACCGGACCAATATCACAAAATCCTGGATGACAACAGATGCCTTGTTCTTCCCTCATATTGCTTTTACTGACTGCATCAGCAAAGTT